TTGTATTTTTTTTAAAGCACTGTTTTCTTGTTTGCACTTTGCACTCCTCAACAAACTGTTGACATCTTGTCAAAACCACAGAACATTCAAAACAAAACGTTATCAGTGATGCTGGAAAACTTTGTATAAACTAATGAGAGTCTGGTTTCCCTAGGCAAAGTCTTCGTCATCCTGGTCTGTCAGTCTTAGAGTGTGCAGTGGGAAACTGGAAATGATGAGGCTAAAACTTCTCTGGCAATATCATGTATCCAACAGCAGGTTTATTTTGCTAATTGAAAGTAACTCTTGTCAATGGGACTGTGTTGCAGCGCTGAAGACTTAGCATCAACCTTGTTGACAAGTTATTACAGCTGTCTATGTGAAAATATTTTTATCTTTGCCTTTTACATAGCAAATTCTTGGAAATATGGTGGTTGATTGTTGTTGTTGGGTGGGGGTTTTTGTTTGGATTTTTTTTTAAGTTTGATTTGCATCTATGTAAAAGAACATTTAGTTTACTTAGTCAAGTACTGAAACAAAGAAATGTGACAGATTTATGATGCATTCTGCAGCCTAATTCTGCCCTCTTATACTTGTATATCATGATGATTATTCCTCGAAGAGTGATTGTTTTGTGTCACAAGACTAATATGTATATCTAATATGCAAAACATTTAAACTTTCATTTTTTTCTTCAGGTACTTGGTTTCTTACACTATGAAACACTGCATTTGGTTAGTCTGGAATATTAGATGCAGAGCTTTGTGAAAGAGCTCTGCATCTTAATCCCTCTTTTTACCACAGAGAGGTGGAGATAAATTACAGGAATTTGTTCATTTGTTATTTTCTGCCCTTGAGTGATGGAGGGGACAATGCAATCTGGTTCGGTGTCTGTCTGGAGAGTGGTGTGGTAAGCAAGATCCTGAAGAAGTGAAGGTCTGGAAGTGGATATAACTACTAATATTTGACACATGACAGAAAAAGGAAGCTTTAGGCTTGTCTGCCTGAACAAAACTACTCCCAGACTGTCAAGAGCAAAAGGAGAATATAGCTTTGCATCAGTATCACTGGTTCCAAGTAATTAATAGGAATATATGTGGCTAAGAAGATGCTTACTGCAGAAAAGCTCAATTAAAATTCTGACCAGATGGGTGCATAACATAGTTATTTTGTTAATTTTTTTTTCCTATATATATTTATATATTTTTTTAAATATTTGTTAAATAATTAAATTAGCTGGTTATCAGTAATCCCATTCCATTTCTATATTATGATGACCCTGCAATACCCAAATATCCACCAGATATTTCCATTCTGTCTAGGGTGGGAGGTGACCAAAGGTTGAGTGAGTATTACTGTATGGTGAGTACACACTGCTCACCAATAGGGCTAATGTTCTGAGTCTGTTCCTTCATTTAGGCAGGTCTTATGTTCCAGTGAAAGGAATGAGTGGCTCTGAAAGCTATTGGCATTTTGATGGCAGGGGTTTGTATAAAATCTCCCCTTTAAATTCCTTGGTCTGTTGACCTTTGTTTTGATTTCACTCTGAGGACAGACTTTCAGCTGTCAGAGTGAGGAAAGGTAGAAAGCGTGGTTGAAAGAGTGACCATAAAGCACTCTCTTTTTTATGTATATATAAAGGGGACTATAGTCAAATTGCTTTGTGATAAGATTATGCTTCATTTGGTCTCTTTCTCCTTCCCTGTGATGTGCTTACATAAGCCTTGAGGATATTAAAATATATCTTGAACCTTCAGTTCATAATGCAGTATAAAGATTAGAGTCTTCCTTCAAGAGTGGTGGCTTGGAGCAATAAAGAGGGTCTGTATATAAATAAACCTCCAAAAGATATTTATTTGATAGACAACTCATGACAATACAGAAGACCTTTGTTTGCACCATCTGAAGCAAGACAGGAATTTCTCTCTCACAGATGAGTGCACTCAAAAGAACTGTAACAAAATTTTTTTTTTTTTTTTTTTTTTTTAATGAGTAGAAAGTTCTTCTGTTGTCTTATTATAGGATGCTGGCATTCAGTAAAAGATATATAATGAATTGCACTGGAGCACTGTATTTTTCCAAGAATGCTTCTCAATAGTGAAAGATACCACCCTTCTGTTCTTCACAGAGTGCAAGCACATACTGACCTAGTCCTGACCTAAACTGCACCATCTCCTCTAGTCCTGAAGAGTACACTGTATTCATTTACTCCTTTCAGAGTAAAGGTAGAAAAACAAAACAAAACAAATCCAAAACGCAGAAACAAACCAACAAGCTCAGATTGGGTCTTCTGGAGTATATAAGTAATGCCAAGACTGGCAGCTCCACCATGCCATAGCCTGGAACTCTTCAGGAGAGAAGTAACCTGTGCATGTATTGGATATCTTTTCTTAATGGTGCATACAATTTTTTATGCATATTTGCTTTGCCTATTCAAAATATTTTCAGAAATATTTACAGAGGAGTAGAATGAGGACAGGTAATGAGAGAAAATATGATTGAAGAGAAACAGCAAATGACATTAAATGGTGACAGGAAGTGGAACAATTTCAGTGACCTGTGTTCACCTGCAAAAAATTCAAATATACTTCATTGTACAAGAGTGAATGCATTAAAACATGAAATGTTAAATGGATTTTTCTCAATTTTTGATGATGAACCATGTTACAATAAACATGGTTTCTTAAACCTACAGTTCTATGATTTCAGATAATATTACCAGATGTGCTTCTTATAATAGCATAACTGAGTTAGGGTTGTTTGAACATGGCTGATGTCTACAACTTTCTTCCAGAAGCAGTCTTAATGAGTAATTTGTGTGTGTGTGTAGAAAAGACATGAAACAATTGAAAAGTGTAAAATATGCTTCTACTTCTGGAGGACATTAAAACAGCTGTTTAAAAGACCATTAAGGCTATTGGTGTTGTTTAGAAGAAAGAGTTGAGTGACTTATTGTCCAACTGAAACACTACTAGAATGCAGCCAGGGAGAATGTAATTTTACAAGTAAGAATTTGGCCAGTGTAAGAGTCATAATGATAGTCTGTAGAGATCTGTGATTCTGTTTTTAAACAGAAAAATAAAATTTCTTAATGCTTCTTATCTTTGAATATATCACTTCAGATTGATAGGGTGGTGGCACTCTCTAACATTTCTGACAGTAACACCGCTGAGCAAGTTTTCCCATAAGTTTTGATAAAAGAGTCAAATCTGTACAAAAAAAATAATTAAGAATGGAAAATTAAAAAGGAAGAAGGAACAATAAAATACCTTGCTTCTGATATCATTTCTACCTTCTTTTAAAAGAAGGGCTTCTTTGCTTGTTGTCTTCGATCTCAAAATGAGAATATTTAAACACAATATAAAGCCAGTCTGCTTTTTCCCATGATTTTTGTCTCCTCCTCCAGTCTTCTTTCCTCCTGTTCCCAATTCTCCATGTCCCATCTTTAAATACCTTAAGTGGAAGCTTTACCTGCTGATTTAACTAGTAATGTTACTCTCAGAGCTGCCTGACTGCCTCTTGGAAAGTTTGACCGGGACAGAGCGGCCCAGATGAATTTCCTTTGAAGCATACTTTTCCACTGTCAACTGTGGTGGTCCTTCAAAATGGAAGCTGTTGTTTCACCTGTCATGCTTGCCTACAGCCTTCAACAGGCAGTCAGGGAACTTACAGTTAGAAATTTATATTAGAAAGCTGAATTGGGATCTTGTTGTGTCCAGTTAATTTTCAAAATTACAGAGTTCAGAAGACAGAGAATAGAGTAGGAAGTGACTAATCTACTTGCTCCTTCATAAGCACCCCTCCAAAGCTTAGCTGATCATTTGCCAGTAGTCAGCTGTGGCTTTGGGTATTCAGGGAACTATTCCCATTTCTTTATATGATGAATGAAAGTAGACTTGTGCTTGGAAATGAATGCCAAAAATAGCATGTTGGAAAGGAACATGATTGCTGAAGTGTAAAGACATGTCCAAAAAAAATTTAAAACTAAAAGAGTAATTCTGTAGCAGTACTTACATATTTCGCAAACAATATTAGTAGGCTGATGGTGGGTGGAGGTAGTTAGTGTTGATAGACAAAAAACATGATAAAGACAAAAGCCTGACACTGGGCTGAATTATCCCAGAATGGATGGGATTCGGATCTAGGATGTTTGCTGAGATCTCTGTTATACTTCCAGTGCTTTACCAGCACCTAGGCATTTATTATCTTCTGTTCTGAGTGGTCTGCATTAACAACAAACTTGGAATTGAACAACATCCCTTGCAAACAGGATGTGACACAATCAGTGACAATGGTAACAATTTATTTTTAAGGCGTATAATTATGTAGCAGGTGTGGGCAGAGAAAGGTTAACATGAATTAAAAATATTGGCAAACTCAGCATCGTCTAAGTCTTAGCAAGGTGAACATTACAGAGAGTAAGGAAGATAGCTGATATTAATTTTACAGATGATGTGTGGTATTATAAGCCACACCATCTGTAAGATGCAAGGAGTTAATTCTATTTCTATTCTAAGTCTGATGTCTGATTAGTTTAAATACCTTTGAATTAGTGGAATGATGCTCTGACTATCAGGTCTTCTGTCAAGAGGTTTTAATGAGTATCAAGTCAGATGATTAAGGTAGAATGATTCTATAGTAAACATGTAAGCTTCAGATGTCAAGTTAACAAAGTGAAAGCTATTCCAGTAAAATAAGCAACATCAGTTGAGAATTCAAAGAAGAGCATGGTTTCAGAGGAGTAAGCAGCTTCATTAAACTCTATTAATGATCCCTGTAGATAAATTTTGCATTTAAATTAATGCCTTGCTTCTAGAGAAAGCAGTATTATTGAGCTTCAGCCAATGATGCAAAGAGATTTACATGAGCTGAACATCTGTGATTCCCTGTCTACTGACCTCCTAAATAAGAATTTTTTAGAATTACATTAGTTGTAGATTTAGCTTTTTTTTTTTTTTTTCCTCCCCATCTCTCTGCAAAAGGACAGCTGTTTGAATTAAATTTGTTCTTTATCCTTGCAGGGTCTTCATTCTGGTGCCTACTGGATATTGTTCCTATAAAGAATGAAAAAGGGGATGTAGTACTCTTTCTGGCCTCTTTCAAAGATATAACAGACACGAAAGTGAAGATTGCTGCAGAAGACAAAAAGGAAGGTTTGTGTGATTTGCAACACTGAAGAACCAACACTGCTAAGTTTTTGAGTTGCATCTCTATGAAGTCTCTGTCTCATGTACACTTTTCTATATGGAGACCTCCTAGCTTTCCAAAGGATAAATTAATACATGACGTAGAGGGATAAATAATCTGTTGAAGTTCTTATTTGTAAATGTTTATATTTACAAATTGGTCCACATTGTGTAAACATGGAATTCAGGGGACAGAGTACTTTGTCCTCAAAATTCAATTTGTTTTACTGCACTATGATTTATTTTATTTGCTTTCTGTATTTACGGAGATACATTTTGGAAAAGCTAGACCTTTCACCCATTCCTTCTGTGAATCTGATATCAGCATGGCTGCGAGATGAATGAATGCATTTTTTTTCCACATTTTTCATGAGAAAAGCATGCAACTTTAGAAATTATTTTACCTATTGAGAAGCATGACTATTCTTGTGTCATCTAATTTTCATTATATTATATAAAATTATAAGATTTATATGTCTTTAGAAATACCCAATAGTGTAAGAAATACGTTCTCACACTTTTTTGCTTCTGAAAGGAAACAATGCAAGGATTCTTTCATGAATTTGGAAAGAGATTGTCATATGATAATGATTCATAGCTGCCATAAAATAATTTTAACTCTATAGTATAGTCAAGTTTTGCTAAATTCTGCTAACCACAAAGCAAAGACAGTGTGGGAGGATGCAGGTTATGCAGTCAGTATTGGCCTGTGTTGTGTATCAAGGACAGTGAACTTATTCCAGGTTTAGATTTTGTAAAGGTATAAAGAGCCATTAGGTTTGCAATTTTTCAGTGTCACAAAAACTGTCTAGAAAACGTTTCTCACTAGATAGAAAGAATCACTTCAGAATTCTGTAAAATTTCATTACCGTTGAATTTTCCAGTCTGGTACTACTATGGGATTTATTTAAATTTTTCACCCTGTGATAGCCATATAATCTCTGCGTATCCTTTTTTTTTTTTTTTTTTTTTCTTATGGGTTTCTGAAGTAACGGAACAACTAATATTCAGATTTTTCCAATTTAAAATACTTGCTTTTCAATAAAATAGTTATATTCAGTTACAGAGAAATATAATTCAGTATTCTTGTACAAAATTTTAGTACATTAAAACAGAAAATATTAGGCTTCCCTGTGCTTCTGAATATTTGTAAATCAAGTTTATGCTAACTATCTCTGCCTCTTTTGTATATTTGCACAAATAATTTCACCTTTATCTTACTTTTCAAGCCCTGAATACTGCAGTTGTTTTGTTTTGATTTTTTTTTTTTATTGCATCCTTCACTTTTTTTCACTGAACATTTTTGAGAATTTCTGAGCTGGAAAACTGAAGAAAGGCTTTGAAGTAGCACACAAGTACATTTTTCAGCTTTTTCTTACATCCAATTTCAACCAGTTACTTCCTCTCAAGTAAAATATTTAAAATATATTTAATCTAGTTTCTCCTTAAGCCTCAAAACCCCTTACTCTTACAAAAGTTTTAAGAAATTAATTTATTAAAACATGATATGTGGAGCCATGTAGAAGAGAGATTGTCAGAACATCTGTGCTATCAAGGTTAATGATTTACCTTATGAGAGATGCAAATTTTCAGGATACGCTTAGTGAGAAATCACATTTAGTATGCCAGTGATGACTGGAAGTATATCACTGATTACTTGTAAAATGACAGCTATTGTTTATCTGATAAATATATTATAGCTGTATGCTTATTTTAGGATGGATTAAAATGATCTTCAGCTTTTGATGTGGGTTCACGTCAAATTGTAAATCTAAGCAGATTTTAACTCATGTTTGTTGCACATTTAAAAATTAATACTCTTCCTACTGTGTACTGACAGAAGAACACGCCTATGCAGAGCTACAGTACACCAGCAAATGCCCATTCAATAAGCTTATGAATATTGGCTTTTGGCTGTATTTCATAATGTACTCTTTAGAGCACAATGCTGAAACTTGGCTGTTCCTTCCCTTTATACCAATTTTAAAACCATGGCAAACATTTTATGCTATGGTGATACTTGTTTGCATCATGGCAAAAGAAAGTAGCACTTAGTGTGGGGCTTTACCAGATTACATTGTTTCATATAACATAGTGAGATAAGAAACAAGGTTTAACCATTTATTCAAAATATTGACAGACAATTCCAGCATTTATCTTTTATGTAAATGTGCCTGGCTATACAAAAATAATGGTATGTTTTCTCATCGAGTAACATTCAAATTCTTCCTATGAAGGTTGATTAATTAGTCCTCCAGTGGTGAATGTCAACCCATCATTGCCAAGAGAGAATTCCCAGTACAATCTATACAACTGCTTCAGTATATGAAATTTCAGAATGTTTAACATCTAGAAGTAACTGGTTCTTCTTTACTTAGACCATAACTACTATCAGGCATGTAGGATGCTCCTAATACTAACAGAAAATTCAGTTTTCATTTTGTTTCAAGTTATTAAAGATCTTTTTTAATGTTCAGGGATTAACATCCACTGCAAAGTGATTGATACACATCGCTGGATATTATTTTCACAGTTAATATTGCAATTTTTTTTTTTTATTTATTTTTTTTTTTAAGATTACTGAATTTGTCTTTTCAAAAATCAGCTAATTAGTATACTTGGAGTTGAAAGACAACTCTTGCTATAATTGCCATTATTTGTAGTTTTCTATTGATTTTTTTGGCATATCTTTTTCAGTTAGATTGTGTATAAGAAGGAAAGCTTAGACAAAAACATGCTCAGTGTGAAGTTCTTTTGCCCATGCAAGTCTGTTGTATTAATGTTTTTGTTTCAGTCTATCTCTCATTTTTTCTGCCCATAAAAGACTTATAATTTGTATGGAACATTAATAGTCATATTCCATCTCCTTTTATTTCAAACTTCTTAGAAAGTTTTTCTATAAAAGTTCCTTCATGTTGCTTTTCTCTTAAGTCTTCTGTGGACCCCTTGGCATTCCACCAGCACTATATGGTAATATACTATCACGGCTTGCACCTCCAAAAGTCTTCTCCAGACTCCCTCTTTCCTACCTTTGATACCATCTCTTTCTTCTGTAAAATCTTGTTCTCCTTGCACTTTCATGACACCTTCATTTATCTCCTGATTTTCTGGCCTCTCTTTTCTTGTGGATTGTCTTTTTACTTTTGCAGACCTCAGGAGTTGATACTTCTTTGATTTGCTGCATTTTCTTATCTATTTTATCTCATCTGTTCACACAACTTCAGTTGCTCCTTCGTGCCAATGCACCTTTCAAATATCCACTTTTTTGCCTGATTTTGCTTTACCCAGACCAAATGTCAGATGTCGTCTGTGACCTTTTCTTTTGAATGTCTCATTCTAAATACAAATTTAACAGAATTTCTTTCTGTTCCTCTTCTGTGTAAAAGTTTCCAGTGAAATCAGCCCTATCAACCTATGGAAGAGCAGACTTTGTCCTAAGACCATCATCTAAGAAAAACGCAAAAATACATGCCTTAGAATCTTCGCAGTCCTTAAGAAGTGTGTGACAGTCACGAACTCTCATATGGCTTCTTCAGTTTGGTTTGGTTTTGTTTTTTTTAAAGTTATTTTACCATCCCCCTCCTCCACCCCCATGCCCCTTTTAATTGTAGTGTTCTTAGGGGCCTCAACTTTTCAATATTGGTAACATGCTTTCAACAATACAGGTTTCCCCTAACTATAAAGTTATTGTAGAAATTCACTCTGCTTTCCATCTGCTTAAAATACCTATAATCATTTACTGTTGTGGAAAGCAACTCAACAGCTTTTCTTCCTATACTTGGGGTCTTTAACCAAACTGATGGTCTTTCTAATATACAGGAAAAAATCTTCTTTATAAATACAGTGATTCCTTCTGAAACTGTTTCTTAGTTTTATCGGAGATTTATTTTAGCATCCTGACTCATAGTGAGCTATATTCTGATAAACTGATTAAGAGTTCCATTGTCCTTTTGGGGGAAAACTGATTAAACTGAAAATATCAGCCTCCAAATCTGCACTCCAATATGGTATGGCTGGGTCAGTGTTTTTTCATTTCTGCATATGAACATTCCATAATACACTTGGACATGTGCTGGAAGTTAGTGAGATTACAAGAATCCAGGTAGGGAAATAAGAAATTAAATTAGTCTGTGACTACTTTCATATCTCTAATCTGTATGCAAATATATAATATTATGGGTTATATAGATGTAGAGTAGTAATGTTAGAATTATTGTTAAAATTCCCCTGTTGAATTCAACTAATTCTGAAAATAATTCTATTGTTTTTTTCTTTGAGAAAATTTTTATCTCTTTGAAAACAATTATCTTAGGACAGATTTTCTCAACTTTATTCCAGCATTATTATATAAATGTGTGCAATATATAGTAAACACAGAATCATACAACAGTTGAGGTGGGAAGGCATCTCTGGAGATTGTCTGCTCCAGTGCCCCTTACTTGAAGCTGGGTCAGCTAGAAGACCACGTCCAGATGGGTGCTGAATATCATGAAAGATGGAGAATCAACTTCCTGAGCAGCTTGTTCCAGTGTTTGACTGCTCACAAAGTCAATAAATATTATTTTATATTTAAATGATATTCACATATTTAATTTTTGTGCCCATTGCCTCTTGTCCTTTCATGGGGCACCACTGAGAAGACGCTGGCTTTGTCATCTTTACCTCCCCCCATCACATACTTATACACATTGATAAGATCCCTCCCTGAGGTTTCTCTGCTCCAGGCTGAACAGTCCCAGCTCTCTCAGTCTCTCCTCTTATGTCAGATGTTTCAAACACCTGGTCATCTTTGTGGCCATTTACTGGATGTGTTCTAGTATGTCCCTGTTTCTCTTGCAATGAGGAGCACAGACCTAGACCCAGCACTACAGATGTGTCTCACCAGTGTTGTAGAGGGGAAGGATCACCTCCCTTAACCTTCTATCAGCATTCTTCCTAATGCCAACTGCAATGCTGTTGGCCACCTT